GGACTTACAAGCTTTCTATGGTGATATTTCTGGCTATTCCTTTCTCTTCCCCTCAAGTGTCTATTTTATAATGGTATGCCAGGGAAAACAAGATTCAAAAGACAACCAAGCACCTAACATTATTTCCCCCCTTTAGCCCATTCCAACCATGTCTCAATCCCTGTATCCCAGAGCCCTGTTGTTCTAAGGTTGTGCATGCATCATTATTTATCTCTGTCCCACTTCATCTTCACATTCATCCTATCGTATACTGTTTCATTGCAATGATTACAATCCCCTCCATGCATTATAATCCCCACAGGCCCGCGCTACGCTCTTCTCACCTGATGGTCCCAGTGACCTCCGCTCCTGGGTTGCAAAAGCAATCACTCCTCTCCTTTTGTCAAAAAATCTACCTCTACATTTCCGACCCTCACAGTCAGTCCTGATGGCAATTATTCGCTATTGTACCACAAAAGTCTTATCCCCATTTCCTTTTGCCAGCCCCATCCCAACAGATTGGAAATCATTCAGTGGAGGTTCTACCTACCCCTGCCCCATCTGGAACTAGGCTCCCTCTTGAAAGCTTGTAAGCCAGTCTCTTCTTGCCTTTATAGGCACCCCACCATTTTGTGTCTGGGCAATTTCCAGCCCCCTTTAAGATATTACAATCAGTTATAGGCTGAAGGCAGGCTTACAAGCTCTCTATTGTAATGTTTCTGGCTATTCCACCCCCACCCCCACCCCCCAAGAGTCTATTTCACAATGGTAGGCAAGGGAAACCAAGATTCAAAAGACAGTCATGTAACCTTACATTATTCCCCTCTTCTATCCTTTCAAACCATGCCTCAATCCCTGTATCCAGAAGCCCTGTTATTCCAAGGTTGTGCATACATCATCATTTACCACCGTCCCATTTAGCGCTTATGAACCTGCCTAGCTGTTCTCCCATCCGCCTTGTTCTTACATTCCCCTCCCCCTTGTTGTGGAAATACCATATACTTTTACAAACTCAAATCAAATCCCACTCTCTTTCAAAACCTCTCACCTCCCATAAAAAAGGTTGTTGTTGTTAGATGCCCTTGAGTTGGTTCTGATTCACAGCAACCATATGCAAAGCAGAATGAAATTGCCTGGTTCTCCACCATCCTTACAACTGTTATTATGCTTGAGCCCAATAACAATAAATTGTATTGTTGATATTGTGGTTAAGTGCCATCGAGTTGATTCCATAGTGACTCTATATAGCGTTTCCAAGGAGTACTGGTGGATTTGAATTGTCTGTGGTTTCCAGTCCAGTGCAGATCCTACAGTACCACACAAGTCTGTAAACTGTCTTTTATACAGATCCAGGGTGCATAATGCCTCTCTTCTGATACTACTGTTCTGCCTTAAAATGTAACTATTTACATATTTATCTCCTGGTTAGATTACAAACTTCTTGGAAGCAGTAACGTTGTCCCATTCTTTTCTAGCTCTATCTTAGTGCCCATCACAGAATATTGGCTCAATAAGTACATTAATTGAATTCACTTTTAGAATTTCCAGATTCCCAAACTGAATATATAGTTTGACCAGTCATGAATAAAATGAAAGAATCACTTCAACTTTCCTTCACACCCTTCTTCTACTGTATTATACATGTTATTACTAGATTGATAACCTCCTATAATAATTCATAAATGACTTAAATATGAGAATTGTGAAATAGTAGATCAAAACCAAAAATGAATGAGTCTGACCTGAAAAATGAATTGAGTCAAGGGTAAATCCTTCTTCATTTGATAATAATGTGGTTTTCTCCATTTTTTCATTTTCAGATAGATATAAACACTCTGGATTATCCAGTTCTTCTAATCAATATAAAATAATGATAAAAATCAAGATTAAGACATAGAAATATAAGAAAATTAAAGTGAAAGATAAGCTAATTTAATATATATGTTTTTGTAACTGTTTGTTGTTAGGTACCATTGAGTCAGTACCGACTCATAGTGACCTTATGCAAAGCAGAACGAAATACTGCCTGATCCTGGGCCAACCTCACTACTGTTGCCACGCTTGAGTCCATCGATGCTGCCACTTGGCCAATCCATCTCGTTGGGGGTTTTCTTCTTTTTCTCTGACCCCCCACCTTACCAAACATGATATCTTTCTCCAGTGACTGGTCCCTCCTGACAATATGTCCGAAGTATGAGAGACATCACACATAAATTCTTAGGATCATATATTTAGTAGAGTTGAGGAGGCTCAGAGATTATATGGTCTGAGATCTATAATTTTCAAGTGAATCACCTAGCGCTAACCCCTCTTACACGAGACACCAAAGGCTGATCTCCACTATCACAGACAAAGTAAAAATAGTGGCAATGACCAAAATAAATCACTGACATAAATTTGACTATATATCTTATAAAAATCATATTCTGTTATATCATGTAATTATTAGTTGACCCTTAGAGAAGCATAACTAAAGTCTTATTGCCAAATTATTTTCACTTTTTCATTTTATACCATTGAGCTAGAAAGTAAATGCAACATCAAAAAGAGTGAAGAATCAAAATCAGGCTATTAATTATTTATTTTAAACTTTTTATTATGAATTGGGTAAAAGTTTACAGAACAGATCAGTTTTCCATTCAACAATTCATACACATTTTGTTTCATACTCATACTGTTGCAAAATCAGGATTTTAATGCTTAAGAAAAATCAGACTAAAACACCTCAAATCAATTGAAATGTTTTCCCATGAATTTCAAGTAGAGAAAATATCTCACATTTGAAATTCCACTCAAATTGTACATAGATTGTCAAACTATACTATCTAATAATTTTAGTATGATATATATATATATATATATATACATGTTACTGTAATAATTGAGAAGCACAGTATTTTGGCAGAGTATTTAAACATGTGTCCTGTTGTAGCATTGTAGGATAAGCACTGGACTGCAAGGTTGGTTTGAACCACAAGGTCGGCAGTTCAAACTCACCAGATGCTCCTCAGAAACCCTATACAGGGTCGCTATGAGTTGGACCCAACTTGACAGCACTTAACAACAACAACAACAACAACAACAATACAAATAAGCCCAGTCCTAGCTAAATATTGTTCATATTACCTGTCTCAGAACACTGTTTTCTATTGTTTAGAGTCTGACTAAGAGAATTTGAGAGTTCTTTATCATCTTTTGCTACACTACAGAATTACTTAAGAGGCACCCTTATAACATAGTGGGTTATGCATTGTACTGCTAACTGCAAGGTCAGCAGTTTGAATCTACCAGCCCTTCTGCGGGAGAAAAATGAGGCTTTCTATTCCCATACCTATTTATAATCTTGGAAACCCTATACAAGGTCACTATGAGTCAGAATCGACTCCATGGCACACAGTCACCACCACCACAAACATTACTTAAGCTCAGAAGTTCTGAGGTTTAATTTGAACATTAGTATCTGCTCACTTTCTATCAAAAGAAAATTTCAACATACCCATATTGGGAGGCTCAGGAGACAGGATGATTTCTCTGTCTAAATGCAAATCTTCTAACAGGATATTTTGATCACCTTGTAATAAATTGTCTGGAAAAATGCCATAATTCTGTCAAACAGAGTTGCATCTATTACTTGTTCACTACCATTTATTCACATTATTATGTATAATGCTTTGTGAGGGACAAAAATGAAAGAACTCTACTTGATTAGATTTGATTATATAGACTGCCACATTTCACCAAGGATAACATAGAACTTTGCATAATTCATAAGAGAAAGACATGATAGTCTGACTCTGTGATGATTTACAGCCTTAGAAACCCTATGGAGCGTTTCTAATCTGTCCTCCATGATCACTATGAGGTAGAAATGACTTAACAGCCGTGGGTTGGTTTCCTTGATTTAAAATTCCATTTTCAAATGTTTAAGTTTAGTATTTACTAAACTTAATAAGCAGACAGTAGCTCTGTATAAAGCTATATATTGAGATTTCATATAGAAAAATGTTTTCCAGTAACTTCTTTTTAGTACCTACAGTTTCAAACTCCCTTGGCAGATGTCTTAGGCTGGATTTTCTAGTGAAACTTACATATATATATATATATAGAGAGAGAGAGAGGAGTTTATTATCAAGGAAATGTCTCCCAACTGTAGGTGTGAGAGTCCCAAGTCCCCAAGAGAAAAGAGAGAGACCCTTTCCTAGGTGTCCATTACATTGGGAACTGGCTATACCCACAAGGAAACATCCTTTTTATTCATTGGCTGCTCATAGACTTAACTATGGCTGTATTAGCTTTCATCATCATAGAAATAAGCACATCTCCCTTACCAAACCATTGGCATCTTGACCTAGTCAAGTTGACACAGAACCCTATTACAGCAGAGAACCTTATAAGGCACAGCTACTGTTTTTAACTTTCAAGCTTTAAAAAGTTTGTCGTAACTAATCTTTAATGTGAGTTAGATTATTTTGAAAAGATTACATAAGAACAGTCTAATATCTTTAAAATAAGTGTGTGAATTTTCTAGTTTTTAATCACCCTAATTCTATGATTATTTTAAATGATATCTCAAATGCTGGAGAGATCCTTTAGAATAATTGTCCAAAAATTGTTAAGAAAAAAAATGTTTTCCAGTTTGTGGTCTAGCACATTTTGTAAGGAATATACTATCCTATCTGAAAATTAGGAATTTGTAAAAATAAAATAAAAGCAGGCAGCATTTCACCATCTATATGGCAAATGTTATTTAAACAGATGACTATTTACCTACCAGTTACCATGGAGTTGCTTCTAATTCTTGGCAACTCCAGGTGTACCAGAATAGAATTGTGCTCCCTAGAGTTTTTAGTGGCTGATTTTTCAGAAGTGGATTACTAGGCCTTTCTTCTATGGTATCTTTAGGTGGATTGGAACCACTAATCCTTTAGTTAGCAGCTGAGCACATTAAGCATTTACACCATCTAGTGGCTCCAGTGAACTACACTAACTTGATTAAATATCATTTATATTACTATACAGTATACCAATCATTTCTCCTGCAGCTCCTTCATCTCCAAATCCATCTCTGCTGTCATAGATCAGAGATTTTTCTCCATTGAGGCTTCCAGAACTACGTTCAATTAAAAGACCACTGGAATTCAGTAATATGTTGTCATCAAAGATGCTATGTCTTCTGAGAACTTCAGTTTCCTCCCCTAAAAAATACATACTGTTAACACTGAGTTAATCATAGGAAACCACAGATTTTAGGATTAGAAGGAAATTAAGGTATCATCTAGTACAATCTCCCTCATATATAAGGACAATGAGAGCTGGGAAACTTATTTGAATTATTCAACCAGTTAATAAGTCACTCAATTAATCAGTAGAGACTGGATCTCTAGTCTAATGCTCTTCCTAATACAACAGAATAACTACTGCTATAATATCAAGGGTAGAGTTTGATAGTTATAATATGGTTCAATAATTTCATAGAAGTTAGAAAATACTATGACAAATGGAATGATTACTTCTAATTTATGTAGTTGAAGTTCTGAATGACCAGGTATTATTTCATATCAATTTTAAAGTTTATTCATAATGGGGATTCAAAAAGAAGGAATATATTTGCTTTTTAGAAAAAAAGAATAAAGTGTGAGCTTACAACATCAATTCAATAAATACTTATCAAGTAAATGTATATTAGGCAATATGCAAGGGAATAGAAATATGGCAGTAAAAAAGATAAACCCAGTTAGCTAACATTAACTCAGTGTTTATTATGGCATTCTACTGCATAAAAGAAGGCACTATTATAATCCTCATTATACATATAAGAAAATGCATCCATAGAAAGGTTATATAAGTCAATCACACCACTAATAAATGGCAGAACCAGGATCTGAACTCAGCTCGGACTCTAAAGCTTGTGTTCTACACTTTACTATACTATTCTGACAAGATACAGATTACAAGAGGTTTAGAATGCAGAGTCAGCATTTTTGGACCAGTGAAACATTTTACAGAAGGAGACTTATGAGAGTGAATTCCTAAGACATTGGCATCAGCAGATAAAATGAAGCAACTAATCTTCCAGATTGCCAACTCTTACATGTTCTTTCCCTCACTTGAGTTTGAGTCTCTAGGTTTAGAACTCAAAAACCTCTAGAAGTCACAGATTGCTTTCTTCCTTCTTTCTAACAACCCACATTAGTGTCAGACAGTAAAGAAAAACATGAAGGATCACTCACATCAGACATTTTTCTATAGATCTACATCTTCTAGAAAGGAAGAGTCAAAAAAGTCAAATTTCATTGTAATGAACCCAAACCTTGCTCAACCAAAAAGATGAAGTGTTTTTCAAAATGTACTAAGACTGTGTTCACCTCATCCAGGTATACTTTGATAACTCCCCAAAGAAAAACCAGCCTTAATCAATCAGATAGTAGTAGTTATTAACAGACACAATATTCTGAGCCCTGAGTATCATGAAGACCTGAAATTACTACTTCAATTTTATGTCATAATCCAGAATGGGATGGATTAATATTAAAAACTTTTTAGAGGTTATTAGGCTTGAGTTAGTAGTTTGAAGGAGAGGAAAAAAACCAAACATATACTGGTGAAGAAGACTGAAGGAGAGTATCAGGGAACTGACTCTGTGTTGTTGCTAGTAGTATCTCAATTGTACATACACAGCAAGGCTCAGAGAGGTTAGGTCATTTGCCCAATACCACCAATACCACACAAAAGCAATTGACAAAGTCTAAATCCAAACTCAAACCTTTTGGTCTACTTTGAACATGTACTTCACACATTTTCGGATTGTCAAAGAAGTCACAATAAATAGAGAAACAAATTGTATTGGTATTTGCTTAACTAGAGCAAAGAGTCTATATTAAAACTAAAACACATGAAATTGGTATAATAAAGAAAGTGACAAGGTTGTAGAGAATCTTAAGAAAAGGCAGGGGTGTTTAATACAATAAATCAGAAGGACTGATGTAGAGGGGAATTTCTTAAAAAGGATTTTCAAGGACAATTGCTCTTGTAGAGATGTATAAAATGTAGGAAAAGACTGTAGGAAGATATGTAGGAGGGTATTAGAGTACTCCAGGCCTGAAATACTGATGAACTGTTGATTAAGGAAATGAAAGAGGTCCTGGTGTGGTACTGTAGGATAAGCATTGGGCTGCTAACTGAAAGGTTGTTAGTTCAAACCCACCAGCCACTCCTGGGTCAATGTGAGTTGGAACTGACTGGATGGCACTTAACAAGTTTTTGTTAAGTGTTGTAGCATCAGTTCCTACTTGAACAGCAAAAATGTGAAAAAGTAGTAGCATTTACTAGTTTGCGATTTCTAGTGTCTTGGGAAGTAGGGAATATGATTCTTTGTTGGTGTGTTACATTTCAGTGTTTAGAATTACAGACAGTAGGAGATTTGTGACACTCAAAGTATAGTCTACTACTAGTCCATGACAGAAACTATAGAACTTGTAAAAAAAGAATGTTCGATTTTTTTCTAATTCCTATTCTGCTTCATTTGAGATGAGCATGTGGTTCTTTTCCTTTGTTCTATTAATGTGGTATATTACAATGACTGATTTTCTGATATGGAATCAAGCTTGCATGCCTGGAATCAATCTCACTTGATCATAATGTATAGTTCTTTTATTATGCTTTTGGACTTTGCTAGCATTTTGTTGAAATTTTTTGGCATCTACATTTATAAGAAAAAATGATCTGCACTTCCCTTGTCTTGTGGTGTCTTTGTTTGGTTTTGGTACCAGGGTAATGCTGGCTCCATAGAAAGAGGGGGTATTCCTTCGTCCTCTCTTTTTTAGAAGAGTTTGAATAGGATTGGTAGAAGTGCTTCTCTAAAAGTTCAATAGAACTCCCTAGTAAAACAGTCTGTTCTTGGTCTTTTTTCTGTTGGGGGTTTTATAGTACTGATTCAATCTTTTTACTTGTTACGGATCTGTGGAGGTTTTCTATTTCTTTTTGAGTCAATTTAGGTAGGTTATGTGAGGAACTATGGAAATTATAAGTAAAAGTGTAGAAACGTGTATCAATTCAATAGGGTAATTTTATATATGTTAAATCTAACAGTAAACATTGAGCTCTCTCTCTCTCTCTGGTAGCGTAGTGGTTATGAATCGGGCTGCGAACCACTAGGTCAGCAGTTCGAAACTACCAGCTGCTCCGTGGGAGAAAGATGAGGAGTTCTGCTCCTGTAGAAGATTAACAGCCTCAGAAACCCTGTACAGGGTCGCTATGAGTCGGAACCGACTCTACGGCACATAACAACAGCAACATATATATATATATAAAATGTTGCTATTTTTCTAGTAATTAATTTATTACTATAAAAGTATCAGTTCATGATGGATAGGAAATGAAAAGAAATAAAACTGGTTCTTTACCACTAATATGTTGGACTGCAAAGTCGGTTTGAACCGCAAGGTAGGCGGTTCAAGCTTACCAGCTACTCTTTTGCAGGGTCACTATGGAACCAACTTGACAGCACTTAACAACAACAACAACTATAAATAATAAGAGATAGGGAAGGCAAGTGATGATACGAAGTCAATATTAGAGCTAAAGCTCAAGAATATTTCTTTGGCCTATCAAAGCAAAATGGAACTCTGTCTCCTATATTCACTGTGCTGAATATTCTGAGACAAAATTTAAACATTAAAATATAACACTGATCCTACTGTTTTTGTGTGTTGCTGTGTTGGTTCCAACCTTGTATAGGGTGTCTGAGGCGGTAAATCTTTATAGGAACAAAACAGCCCAATCAATGCATAACTCTCTATGCTCCCAGGGCTCCCACAGTGATCTTGTTGTTGTTAAATGCCATCTAATCAGTTCCGACTCATAGTGACCCAATGTAGGGTTTCTGAGGATTGACTGATGAGTTTGAACCATCTACCTTGCAATTCAAACTGACCTTGTAGTCCAGTGCCACACCAGAAGTCTACACTGATCTTAGCGACATGAAATTTACAGACTAATACAAGCATCATGTAAATATCATAAAACAAGCCAGAGAGTAAAATATGCTATAAAAATAAACAAATAGTATATAACAAATAATTTAACCGTATTGTATTAATTCTAAAATACCGTGCCCAGGCAAAATTTAACATTAAAAATATCAGTATCTATTTCACAATTAATGTGAGCATTTAGTGTGATAGCATTTCCTTCTGTTTTTAAATTGATTTTATCCTTTATGACATTATAAACTGGAGGAAATCTGATATCTGAAGGCATTTTATACAGCATACATGGAAAATCTGCATATATAAGACGTTAACTAAAATGTCTACTTATTTACATGTCAATAGATCCGTTTTGGAAGAAGTGCAGCCAGAGTGCTCCTCTGGAGGTCAGGAAGGCCAAACTTCGTCTCTCATACTTCGGACATATTGTCAGGAGGGACCAGTTATTGGAGAAGGTTATCATGTTTGGTAAGGTGGAGGGTCAGAGAAAAAGAGGAAGACCCTCAGCGAGATGGATTGGAAAAGTGGCAGCATCAATGGGCTCAAGCATAGCAGCAATTGTGAGGTTGGCCCAAGACTGGGCAGTGTTTCATTCTGCTGCACAGAGGGTCACTATGAGTCAGTACCAACTAGATGGTACCTAACAACAACAATAATAAATCTACTACCTTAAAGCTACCCAAGGAAAGGAACTGCTTCTTTAAACTTCTTAAAACTTTGTTAGCACCCATGACTATGATAAAAAGCCAGCTGCCTTAACTACAACTAAAAGCAACCCTACACATGTCAGAATAGAACTGTGCTCCAATAGGGTTTAACTGATTTTTCAGTAGTAGATTGCCAGGCCTTTCTTCTGATGCATCTCTGGGCACATTTGAACTTCCAGCCTTAAGGTTAACAGCCAAGTTCATTAACAATTTGCACCACCCAGGGACTCCATGTCTATGACAGCATCAAACATAAAGTTGTTGTTGTTAGGTGCCACCAAGTTCATACCGACTCACAGTGACCCTATGCACAACAGAACGAAACAATGCCTAGTCCTGGGCCAACCTCGGAATCATTGTTATGTTTGAGCCCATTGATGCTGCCACTGTGCCAATCCATCTTGCTGGGGGTCTTCCTCTTTTTCTCTGACCCTTCACTTTACCAATATGATATCCTTCTTCAGTGACTGGTCCCTCCTGACAGTATGTCTGAAGTAAGAGAGACGAAGTCTGGCCATCCTGGCTTCCAAGGAGCACTCTGGCTGTACTTCTTCCAACACAGATGTGTTTGTTCTTTTGGCAATTTCAATATTCTCCTCCCACACCATAACTCAAATGCAACAATTCTTCTTTGATCTTCCTTATTCATTATCCAACTTCCACATGCATATGAAGTTATTGAAAATACCATGGCTTGGGTCAGGCACACATTAGTTCTCAAACTAATATCTTTGTTCTTCAATACTTTAATGAGGTCTTCCGCAGCAGATTTGCTCAATGCAATGTCTTTTATTTTCTTGATTGCTGTTTCCATGAGTGTTGACGGTTGATCCAAGAAAAGAATGAAGTCCTTGACAACTTCAATCTTTTCTCCATTTATATGGATGTTGTTTATTGGTCCAGCAGTGAGGATTTTTGTTTTCTTTACATTGAGGTACAACCCATACCGAAGGCTGTACTCTTTCATCTTCATCAGTATTTTAAGTCCTCTTTGCTTTCAGCAACCAAGGTTGTATCATCTACATTAATGTTAATGAATCATCCTCCAATCCTGATGCCACATTTTTCTTCATATAATACAGCTTCTTGGACTGTCTGTTCAGTGTACAGATTGGAAAAGTATGGTGAAAGAATACAACCCTGGCACACACCTTTCCTAATTTTAAATCATTTGGTGTTCCCTTGTTCAACTGACTCTTGGTCTATGTACAGGTTCCTCATGAGCACAATTAAGTGTTCCAGAATACTCATACTTCGCAATGTTGTCCATAACTTGTCATGATCTACATAATCAAAAGCCTTTGTGTAGTCAATAAAGCACAAGTAAACATCTTTCTGGTATTCTCTGCTTTCAGCCAAGATCCACCTGACATCAATAATGATATCCCTCATTGCACGTCTTCTTCTGAAACCAGTTTGAACTTCTGGAAGTTCTTTGCCAATGAATGGCTGCAGTTGTTTCTGTATTATCTTTAGCAAAACTTTACTAGCATGAGATAACAATGATATTGTCCAATGATTTCCACATTCCATTGGGTCACCTCTCTTTGGAATGGACACAAATGAAGATCTCTTCTGGTCAGTAGGCCAAGTAGTTACCTTCTAAATTTCTTGACATAAATGAGAAAGTGGCTCCAGTGCCACCTCACTTGGTTGAAGTATTCTCTCAATTCCTGGTGTATTCTTTGCCAATTCCTTCAATGTCCCTTGGACTTCTTCCTTCAGTATCATTGGCTCTAAATCATATGATACCTCTTGAAATGGTTGAACATCGACCATTTCTTTCTGGTACGGTGATGCTTTTTCATCATTATTTTGCTCATAGAATCCTTCAATACAAGTTGAGTTTTGAATTTTTTCTTCAGTTCCCTCAGCTTGAAAAATGATGTGTGTTCTTTCCTTTGGGTTTTCTAACTGCAGATCTTTGCACATTTTGTGATATTTGACTTTATCGTCTTGAGCTGACTTTATCTTCTCGAGTTCAGTTCATGTACTTTTAGCATCTCTATGCTGGAGAGCAAGTTTCAGTCTCTTCTGACATCCATTTTAGTCTTTTTCTTTTGTCTTCTCAATGGCCTTTTAATTTCTTTCTGTATGGTGTTCTTAATGTCATCCCACAACTCTTCTGGTCTTCAGTCTTTAGTTTCTAATGCATCAAATCTGTTCAGATGATCTCTAAATTCAGATGGGATACATTCAAGGTCATATTTTGGCTCTCGTGGACTGGTTTTCATTTTCTTCAGCTTCAGCCTGAATTTGCATATGAGCAATTGATGGTCTTCTCCACAGTCTCCCCCTGGCCATGTTTTGGCTGATGATATGGAACTTTTCCACCGTCTCTTTCCACAGATGTAGTCAATTTTATTTCTGTGTATTCCATCTGGTGAGGTCCATATCTGTAGCCATCTTTTACGTTGTTTAAAAAAAGGTATTTGCAATGAACAAGTTATTGGTCTTGCAAAAGTCTATCATGAGATCTCCAGCATCATTTATCTCACCGAGACCATATTTTCAAACTACTGATCCTTCCTTTTTGTTTCCAACATTTGCATTCCAATTGTAATTATCAACACGTCTTGAATGCATGTTTGATCAATTTCAGACTGAAGAAGTTGATAGAATTCTTCAATTTCATCATCACTAGCTTTAGTGGTGGTGCGTAAATTTGAATAATAATGGTATTAACTGGTCTTCCTTTTAGGCATATGGATATTATCCTATCACAGACAGCATTGTACCTCATGACTGATTTTGATATGTTCTTTTTGATGATGAATACGATGCCATTCCTCTTCAATTTGTCATTCCCAGCATAGTAAACCATGTGATTGTCAGATTCAAAATGGCCAATACCAGTCCATGTTTATACGTTCCAATACCAGTTGATGTTTATACGTTCCATTTAATTTTTGACAATTTCTAAATTCATACTTTGTACACACCATGTTCTGATAATTAATGGATGCTTACAGCTGTTTCTCTTCATTTTGAGTTGTGTCCTATCAGCAAATGAAGGTCCTGAGAGCTTTACTCCAATTGCATCATCATGGTCAACTCTACTTTGAAGAGGCAGCTCTTCCCCAGTTGAAATTTGAATGCCTTCCAACTTGAGAGGCTCATCTTCGAGCACTATATCTAACAATATTCTGGCACTCTTCATCATGTTTCAATATTCAGTAATCTGGTGCTGACAGTGTTACACTGCTATTCATAAGATTTTCAGTAACTAAATTTTCAGAAGTAGTTTGTCTCTCTTTCTTCCTAGTCTGTCTTCATGTTGAAGCTCAGCTGAAACCTGTCCACCATTGGTGACCCTGCTGGTATTTAAAACACTAGTGGCATAGCTTCCAGAATCAGAGTAACTTACAAGCCTCCACTGTACAACAAACTGATAGAGGTGGTGACATATAGTAGTATGTAGAAAGGTAGGTATATAGCTTAAGACTGAGTGTTGGTAATGCTATCTAGACTAGAAAATGGTAATAAGAAACTTTTTGGGTATTGCCTTTAGACATAAAAAAATTCATTCTAAAGATATTTCTATTGGTATGGAAATAGCCAAAGGCATACTTAATTTTATTGCACTTTGCTTTTTTGTGCTTCAGATACTACTGCATTCTTTATGAATTAAAGGTTTGTGGCAACCCTTTACCAAATCATTTTTCTAACTGCATGTGCTCATTTCATGTTTCTGTGTTACATTTTGATAACTCTTACAATATTTCAAACTTTTAAAAATAAAACTGTTGCACACTTAATAGACTACAGCATAGTATAAACATAAACTTTATTTGCAGTTAGAAACAAAAACATTCATGTGACTCCCTTTATTGTGATATTCACTTTATTGTAGTAGTCTACCTCCAATATACTTGAGGTATGCCTGTATTTCTACTGGCATTGCTTAAACACAAAAATGGAAATATAATTGATTATATCTTATGATTTTTATTTTCTCACATATTCTTACCAAAGCTCCCAGCTTGGAAAAGCAGATCATTGCCAAAGTCTTCTCTAAGTGTAATTTCTTCTGGTCTACTTTGATTCTGAGTAAAATGCTCTGAAACTTCAATAACACTATGAAAAAACATAAGATTGAATAAAAAAGTGTGACTTCAACGACTTTGCAATATACTTGGAAAAAGGAACTGAGATGAAAAATAGGTTTCATTGTAAGAAGAAAGATGTTTTTATTTTCTCAATGTTGTACTCATAGCAACCCTATATAGGAGCAGCTGGTGTGTTTGAACCGTCAGTACTTATCCTACAGCATCACACCAGAACTCACATATAATATCAATCATCTCCAGGTTGCCAAATATAAACAATTATCAGTTCTTATCTTACTTGCCCTAATTAGTAGCATTTGAAATAGATGTTCACTCCTTCATAAGACACATTCTTATTTGGTTTCTGGGATATCAATCTTTCTCTATTTCCTTCCTACCTCATTGGCTACTCTGTTTCCACCTATTTCACTAGTTCTTCATTTCTAATACTACTACTAAAAAGGACCCCACACTCTGTCCTCGGAATTGTAATTGTTTTTAGGTTGTCAAGTCAGTTCCAATTCATAGTGAACTTATACAAAACAATGAAACACTACCCAGTACTGTACAAGCTTCACAATTGTTAAATTTAAGCCCACTGTTGCTAACACTGTGCCAATCCAACTTGTTGGAGGGAGTGGTTCTTCCTCATTTTTGTTCATCCTTCCACTTTTCCAAGCATGATCCTTCTCCATATCTGATAATATGTCCAAAGTATGAGAGACAAAGTCTCATTGTCCTTGGTTTTAATGAACATTTTGGCTGTGCTTCTTCCAAGACAGATTTGGCTGTTCTTCTGGCAGTCAATGGTACTTTCAATATTCTCCAGCAAGACCATAATTCAAATGTATTGATTCTTCTTTAGTCTTCCTTATTGATTATCCAACTTTTACATTCTTATTGTTGTTAAGTGCTGTCGAGTTGCTTCCAACCCATAGTGACCCTGTATAGAGCTTCCTAAGAGTGGCTGGTGAGTTTGAACCGCTGCCCTTGCAGTTCAAACTGACTTTGCAGTCTAGTGTAATAACCCACAGTGTAACACCAGGACTTCTCATATTCATATTAAGCAACTGAAAATATCATAACTTGGGTCAGATATACCTTAGTCCTCAAACTGACATCTTTGCTCTTGAACACTTTAAAGAGTCCTTTGTAGATTTACCTAATGCAATGCTTTGTTTAATTTCTTGACTGCTGCTTCCAAGAGCATTGATTTTTATTTGATCTTTGATAACTTCAATCTTTTCACCTTTTATCATGATGTTATTTGTTGATGCAGTTGTGAGAATTTTCGGGGTTTTTTTGTTGTTGTTTGTTTTTACATAGAGGTGAAATTCATAATGATGGCTAGTCTTTACTCTTTGTCGGTAAGTTTCAAGTCCTCTATACTTCAGGAAACAAGGTTATGCCATCTGAGTATCACAGGTTATTAACGACTCTTCCTCCAATCCTGGTGCCATTTTCTCCTTCATATAATCAGGCTTCTGGGATTATTTGCTAAGCATACAGATTTTTTAATTAAAAAAAATTTATTGTGAATTGAGTGAAAGTTTACAGAGCAGATCATCAGTTTACATTCAACAAATAATATACTTTGTTGCGTTACAATGGTTATAATCCCCTCCATGTACCATCAGTTAACAGTATTTCTCTCTATTCATTTTAGCTCTTTTTAAAAAATTTTTTTACTTTCAACACTCAGGTATATATAATAATTTAAACCACCAAATGGCACATTCTGCAAGTCAGCCTCCTGGCCGTCAGCTCTCAGTCTCTCTCTTTCCACAAATCTAGAGTCCTCAGCCGCTCCCTCTGTCCATGTCCCCATCTCTGCCTCCATCTCTAGTGTCGCTGCTTCTCTGGATAAGGTCCTGCATTCTGCTTGTGTTCTTCTCCCTTAATGGTCCTAGGGTCCTCTGTTTCTGAACTGTAAGATTAACGACTCCATTTTTGTCACAAAACTCTTATCTTTACAATTGTGACAGTAGCGATTAGTCATGATAACAATTGTTGTTGTTATGTGCCATGGAGTCGGTTCTGACTTATAGCGACCCTGCATAGGGTTTCTGAGGCTATAAATCTTTACGGGAACAGAAAGCCTCATCTTTCTCCCACGGAACAGGTGGTAGTTTTGAGCTCCTGACCTTGTGGCTCA